ATCCCCGGTTCCCTGGCATCCCTGGATCCCTGGCATCCCTCCCCTGTTTGTGTTTTCGTTTTCCTGAGTGTGTGCTCCGTAAACAGGCATATTTCAATCAAAATTACATATTGAATTCTCAGCAGCTAACCGAAAAACTCGAAACGAGAGCACACACAGCAAACTTTCAGCCTCAAGAGGCACTCCTGTTGTTTCTACACTTTTTCCGAGGGTATTCCGGCTTGCATCAGGCAGGCACTAATGTACATGTTTGAGGGTATTCAAAGATAGGATATTCAAGCTGGCCTACCCGTTCCCCTGTTCCCTGTTCCCCGTTCCCCTGTTACCCCTTCCCCGTACTGTTGTTATTGTTGCTGTTTTGGAAAATTTCGCTCTTCGATGGGGGTTGGAAAATGTTTAGAATATTTGCAATTAACTACAGGAAATTAGTGTTTACAGTTAAATTTTGGTCTGTTTTTTGTCGTTCCCGATGCAGTGGGAAAGGGAAAGCGGAAGGGAAACTATTCGAATTCCCGAAGTTTTGCTGCTCTGCTCAGGTTATTGGCTCTTTAGGCGACTCTCCTAAGACTTTTAGTGCTGTGTGTTATCCCCAAAAGCTGATTCATAAGCTCCACCGCCTGCCGCCTGCCGCCTGCCTCCTACTTCCTGAAAATAATCATGCAAATAGCCTCAGAAATAAGTCGGAATCAAAGTCAAAGTCAAAATCGGAGGGATCCTACGTCTACGCACGACAATGCAAAATTAATTCCAAGTGCTTGTCAACGGCTTTTCAACGGCTTTTGTGTGCAGGACGCAATGATGATGATGATGATGATGATGACGGCAAAGGCAGCGAGAGCGAGAAGGAGATTCATCCTTGCAGCCAAAGTCAAATTGAATCAACAATATTAGCAACAAAAGACCACCTCAACTCGTCCAAAGAGTTCCAAAGAGAACGCCACTGAGCAGAGAATAGAGCAGAGAGAACAGAGGCAAATCCTCGAATCCGAGCCGTTGAAACCCTTCTTGCACAGCTTCATCATCATTATCATGCTCAATATCTCAGAGGCGGCTGCCATTTTATATTATAAATTGCATTATAATTCAAATTCTGCAATAAATCTCAATTTCAAACACAAAGGCCGGGAGCAGGGCGAGGTACAAGGCTGGTACAAGGCAAAAAGGGGTGGCACGGGGCACGCGGTAGGGGCAGGGGCAGGGGCAGGGGCAGAGACGGGCAAAAAGTTTATAGCCCTCGAACGCACCTTGAAAATGGAAAATGGAATCACCGCCCAGGCAAATCAATCGATTACGCGACTTAACTTTTCAATGGCCTAAACGACAGGCGGCGAACAGAACTTGGGAAATGGAAAATGGTAAAAGTGGAGTAAAGGATGCGATGGGGTTGGGGCTGGGTCCGAGCAAGTTGAGGCTCCTTTATGTTTATGATAATAATAGCCAGGCAGGGCCAGGGTGAGGACGGACTGCTGTCAGGTTAGTTGCCTTTCATTTGTATGGCCCGTCCTCAAAGGATATTGTAAGAGGAAGTTGCTGCTCCTGTCTGACGGCAGAAGTTTATGATTGTATTACTAATAGAGCTCTTGGCTTTGACTTTGAAATGACAGCGAGGGCTGGCGCCGGACCTGTGCTTTGATTGTTAAAGAGGTTTAATTTAGCATATCATCAGGGGATCAGGATCAGGATCAGGCACAGAATGCCCATCCTTAATCATCTCTCGCTCTATCCCATAAGCTTCTCTATCCAGCATCCTTTATTCCCAGGTCTTTTCCATTCTCTGTCTCTGCTTCTCTGCCTCTCTGTGTACGAGTATGCCTTCTAATAAGCGATAAATCTATGCCAAAGCAGGGCAAAGAAAATTGAATCAGGCACAACCTGGAGTCGGAGTCCCCTGCCTCCGAGCTCTGAGCTGTGAGCTCAGGACTCAGACCCGGGCAAGTGCCAATGGCAACGATATATATTAAATATTTAGAGACACAGCACACAGCGCACAGCCCACAGCACACACAATACTCGCAGAACTCATACATGGATGGCGCTGTCTGCCAGGGTTGCCATTGTTGTGTCTAATGCAATAACTTTTCTGTGAGCCCCGACAGAAAGGGGTCACCGAACAAAGAGCCAGGCGGGGGTCTTGGGGGGGTACAGGTTGGTTCGCCTCCACGAATATCAAGAGTACAATTCGGGCCTTCTTCTTTCTTGCCTTCTTTTTGGGCAGGCGACACTCTCACTCGCTGACACTCTCACACACGACACGGCATACACTTTGACCCGTTTGGCAATTCTTCAATCAATTTTGAGGACAACCGACACATAATGATAATGGCCGGCGGGGGAGGGGGTGGCGGCAAGACTGAGAGGGGTGGCGTCAGGTGGTGGTAAAATATGCATTAAAGTTGCCGAATTGAAAGGGCCAAAACAATTTTTCAATATTCACACCCACAAATAAAGGACGCAGGATCCGGGGGATTAACATAATTTAGCCATTCTCATAACCTCAAAAGCATCCTTAACCCTTGTGCGCCAAGGTAATGGCCATTTGGCAATTTAATTTCTCGCACGCACAATCGACGAGCGGCTCGCTCCAGTGCTCGCTCCCACACCCACCCACCGCACCCGCCGCACCAGCACCACGCACAGCCACCCACCCACCCTGGCATGGAGTGGGAAAGAGAGAGAGCAGCGCTTGGGGAAAAATCTTCCTTTTCGCAATATTGCCAGCCATAAATCCTGCTTAAATTGTGCATGCAGAGGATTTTTGTTCCAGAACGGCAACTCCCAAGTTCCGCCTCTCATCCCTGCCCCACCTCCTTCTGTGCCACTTAGCCGCCTGCAAATTCCTCACTTGCTCATCCGCCCCCTCTCCGCTCTCTGGGGGCTGTCTTTTGGCTCGTGCATATGTTAATAACCGTTAGCTTTGGCTCCTGTGCGTGCCATCCCGCTCTCTCTCTCACTCTCGCTCTCGGTCTCCCCCCTTTCCCATTTTTATTTGATATTATTACGATAATTTATTTGGGCAATAAATTTGGCAAAGAAAAATGCATTTACATTTTCCTTTGTGCCATAATTTGAAACTCTTTTCTGCCAGCGCGCTGGCGGTCACAGTTTACGGGATTACAAGGAGCTGACCGATTCGAATCGATTGCAGTCGCCTCCCCACAGGCCCCCTTCCGATATAACTCTCTATTAAAATCTCATTCAAATGCAGAATAATGCCATGACTCATTTGTGGGGAAAAAGGCAGCAAAAACTATGCAAAGAAATCGTAAATTTACAATTCTACGGGTACGGGTACGATTACGATTACGATTACGAGTGTTTCCACGCAATTACAGATGAATGCACTTTTTAACGATCATCGCAGCTATTATTATGATTATTACTATGGATAGTTTTTGTGCATGCCAAAATGGAAAGAATATTGAAAGGATAAAAAAGGGGAGAAGATACGAGTACTCGCATAAGAAGTGATAGATGGCGATACTTATCGTTGCAGATCGAACTAGTAGACAAATGAAAGCACAGCACTAAAGCACAAAATCATAGGAATTTTTTTTTGTAATCTATGTTTTATTTTTGTTTTTGTTTTTATTTTCGTTCTTGCCCCGAAGCCTTGTTTGCCGCAATTTCAATCATCGATGCCGGAGATGCAAAGGATTTTCGAACAGACTGCAAACCAAAACGGGGACAAAACACACACACAGAAATCATGCAGGACAAAAAAAAAAAAGAAGAAAAACCCATTTGAAAAGAATGCAGGACGGGCCATATGAAAGGAAAACAGAAACATTTTGATAAATCGAATGCATATAAATTAAAGTAAATAGCTTGTAAAATGCATAAATCAGAGCGTTAATGGGTTTGTCTTTTATTACCCGTTAGCCCATCGCCCATCGGCTTTGGTTCGGTTCATGCGTGAACCCACTGTACTACACCTCACAGTACACAGTACACACTCTGTACACACTCTGTACACTTATGCACTGCCAATTTATCATCACTTTCCACAAACACTCGAACAAAACACACTTTTTTGCTGTCAATTGTACGGCGGAGTAGGGTCTTTTTTACGGTACGGCACGGTGCGGAATCCGGACACTGTTGACACGCTAATTTAAGCGCTGGCAAACAAAGTAAATGGTTCGTAGCTGGAATGACGTGGATAAATCATAAAACAAAACGATAGCCCATACAGTAGTTCCGATACCAAAAAAAAAAAAAAAAATAAATCGAAATATTTCGAAAATTTGTTTGCAGTGTTGTTTTCTATTTTCGAAATTAAATTAGTATTTTTTTTTTTTTTTTGCTGTTGCTGTTCTCAGTTTTCTGTTGAATCTCTGTGGTATCTTGTGGATTGTTTTCGTATTCGTATTCGTATTCATATTCGTATTCGTTCTGTTTTGTTTTGTTTTGTGCCATGTTTCATTTGTATACTTGTTGTGGTTGTGGTGGAATATTGTTGTAAATATCTTTGGACTGCGTGATGAATCAAATAAATATCGAATGGAAAATGGAAAATGCAAAAGGGAAAATAAGCACTTTTGGATACCAGAGCCAGAGCCAGAGCCAGAACCAAAACAAAATTAAATTATAAGTTAATCAAATGCGATCGAACGCGTTTCGTTGTTCGTTGTTCTTTCTCTTTTTTTTTTTGGTTTCTTTCTTATTATTATTAATATTTTTTTTTGGTTAGATGCTCATGCCGCACAGTTGGCCTCAGTTTTGGACGGTTTCAATCGGAATATCAACTCCCCAGCACACCAAAACACGTCGAAAACTAAGGTCCATTGTGGACAGTATATTCTGGTGGGTTGTTTTTCTTTTGCAGGGATCGGTATCGGTATCGGTTCGGTATCGGTTCGTGGAGGCACTTTGTTTTCGTACACTTATTGGCAGCATGGTGGGGTCTACAACAAAACAGACGTGCCAAATGAAAATCCTACAGGGAAGTAGCATGCAAAAGTGTGCATTGGAATCCTCATACATTACCCTCAAGCATACACCCAATCGAACGTATCGTATTTATCGGTTGAACTCACCTGAAAAGACACAAAATACAAAGATAATCATTAGCAAGAGCCGGCACATTATCCACAATTAAACAGACAAGTCCCCGAAGCAAAGAAAAGAAGCTCTGGAGTCCGTCCTGCAACCCATGAAGCCCGTGAAAGTCGGTCAACTTTTTTAGCGCTACGAGCCAACAAAAAAATACAGTGCGGGACCTGCTGTTCTGGTCCTTGGAAGTATATCAAAACTTGTTCAATGTTTGCGGACTCTGTGCGAAAAGTTTCCAGCCACGGACGGACGGACGGATGGAAGGGGCAGGACAGGACAGTATCGGCATTTGCCTCCCCTTGCCTGTTGACACTGGCCGCCGGAAATCGGCGCCACATTAGCAACAGCAGCAACAGCCGCAGGTGCAACGCTGAGAGACTCGATTGAAGTGGCGGCAAACCGGGGAAAAGCAGCTCCAAATTACCAACAGACCGCACATCTAATTCAGGCAGGCACTTCAAAACGATTAATTAATCAATGCAAATTTTTTTGTTTGCCGGGGAGAAATGCTCGTACTTCGGTGTGCTCGAGTGCCATCGAAGCTCACCTAATGCCATTCGAGGCGGCCCTTGCCGATCCGTTCTCAGCTTTATTCACAGCACTCGAAAAGCCACACAACACTTCTGGCCGGGCCAAGCCACGACCGCAGGACCACACTCCAGCTACATGCCGCCCCTGCCACCCCTGCCACCCCTGCCACCAGATTTCGATCGGACTAAATTAAAACACGAATTGAATTATACAAATATGTACGTGTACAGCAACGAAATCTGAATCTGAATACGAATGCGAGTGGGAGTGGGAGTAGGAGTGGGCTACGGGTGAAATATGCACGTGGAAAAACCGCACAAGAGGCCACTCTTCGGTTAAGTTGACCGTATTTAATGGGCTTTGCCGGTCCGACCTCTTCAGCAGGATTGCAGCAGTGTGCGAGTGTGGCAGTATGGCAGTGTGTGTATCTGTGATTGAGGACTGAGATGTGTGTGTATAACGAGCACGGTAAAGTACGGATTGCTTGCTCATATTTTCAATAGCTTAAAATAATCACTCGAGCTCGATGTGGAGCTGGAGCTGGCGCTGGAGCTTGAACTGTGCGCAGGTCAGGTCAGGGGATGAATGGATGGCTGGATGGATGTAGCACACACGCACAAGTTCTAATTAAACAAACATTTTGTAATTTTCGTTTAACGGCAAAACGACGACACGTGGTCCACAGGGTGATCCGCAGAGGCAGAGGGAGAGGCAGAGGCAGGGACCGGCCAAGGGATGCGACAGAGCACAAACCACTTAAGTGCCAAAGCAATTTAAAGCCGAGGCCAAAATGCCAAAACGAATTTACTCCGCACAGAGAAAGGAGACAGGAAACAGGGGGGCCAGAAGACAGAGGGAAAGTCCTCCCCATCCCCCCCCCAAAATGGAACGGAAGGCAACATATGATGGCTCTATACTCGTGTATGGATGGCTGGGGTCTGGGGTCTCAGTGCGGGCGAAGGGGCGGCTTACATATGTATTCTGTGTAAATATGTGCCCAACATATTTTGCAAAAATAAACATTGCCTCAAGCTATAGACCGACTGTGTGTATAAACAGCTCTCCCTGCAGATCCCTGGCCCACTCCCAGTCCCAGTCCCCGTACACTTTTTTTTTCCGGTGCTCTCCTGTTTTTTTTGGGCAACAGCCGGGTCAAATATGCATTTGGCAACCCTGGCAGAGCGGTGTGGCGGCCGTTTATGTATTTTAAATTTATTTGTTTATTTATTAACTGCATTTTATTCATTTCTTCATTGCGGCCCGGGGCTCTGGGTTGCTTTTGGACTCATTTCCAGATGTTCTGGTTCTGGTTCTCGACGAGGGTGGTTTCAGTGCTGAGTATCAATCATTCGCTATCAGTGCGAATCAACACACTCCCGCCAGGGCCTGCTCCTGTCCCAGTCCTCCGGGAACCTCCTGCTGCCGGCCGGGGCATTTATGCATATTAGCCTGTCGTCGGCTTAAAATCTAGGGGCTGGGCCCCACCTGACCGGCCCGCACTCGGTGCCAATCAATCAAATTACGCGCAATTATTGCACGGCAACTTCGGCGCAAAGTACTGACAGCTGTCATTAAAACATAACGGCGACAGGAGCAGACAGGACGAGGCACATGGCCGAGGCCAAACAAACAAGCGAAGGAGCGAAGGACCCACAGGGCCAGAAGGCAATCGCCATCTCCGATTGCAGTTGTTGTTGCTGTTGCTGTTGCTGTTGGGTCGATGCATAATTATAGAAATAAGCGAAATACGCATAAAAGTCATCATCAAGTGAGAAGTTTCCCAGTCAGCGGCAGTCACGGCGAGCACAACTGTACCCAACGGCAAGTTAGTGGCAGAAACTTGGACTGGTCGCAGTCCCCCACTCCGCACTCCGCACTCCGCACACCCAACATTTGCCGCATTCCGGTCGGGTCCTGCAGTTGTTAATAGCTTGGAAGTCATCAAGGAAATTAAAAATTATTAATAAGCCAGCGACCAGCGAAAGACCGAAAGAGGACCCGAGCAGAGCAGAGCAGAGCAGAGCCAAGGACTCCCGCCTCCCATTTGATAGTTTATTGCAGTTGCTATTTGCTGCTGCTGCAGAGAACTTTGCTGGGACTTGGACAGGGGGCTGGGGCTGGGTCTGGAGCACTGTAATTTTACAGTTATAGCTTTTTAGTGTGCAACTATTTTTCGTGTAAAACTTTTAATGGAATTCAGCAGGACCCGGGTAGCGGCAGCGGGTAGACGGCACCACGGAGCTCCCCGCCGTTCGATAGTGCGGGGAGCGAAAGCGCGTCAAAAAATAGACACCAATTTGTGAGGGGATGGTGGGGGAGGATTTTGGGTGGCTGCTACTCCGATACTCCGCTACTCCGCCACTCCGCTACTCCGCAGGAAGTCATAGTAAAATGAGCGGAAATGAATGGTTTTAAATAACAGCAAATTATGAGTTAAGTTTTCTAAGTAGAAGCACAAGGCGAAAACTTTTCGACTCCACTTGGATGGCTTTATAAATAATTTTTGCGGATGCTTTCGGCTACACTCGAAAATACTATAGTTACAGGCGCACTCGTGGATGTACCGTGGGCAATCTCTGGAATCTCTAGTGTGTGGTGGTAGACGACGATCCGTGTTCTCTCTTTGGAAATTGCGAAATTAATTATTACACGTGTCCTCTGTCAGGACACAACAAATTGCCAGAGCCACTCGAGAGACAGACATCAAGATCTGTCGTTTGGGTTTTGGAGCCGGCAAAAAGTTTCCCCTGGCAAAACAGCAATAACTCAAAAAATAATTTAGATTTCCTTTACAAGTTCCCAGAGAGGAAATGCAGAAAAGTCGAGGAGTAGAGCGGGGTGGGGCAGAGCAGGGTAGGAAAAAAAGATTGTGGCAACTCGGCGTTGTCGTTGCACAATGCCAAAAATGTCATTTGTCAAATGCAAACAGCTCTAAGAATAAACATCAACGGAAGTAATGCAGCCACAAAATACATAAAACAAGCTGCAACAAGACCCAGAAGTACTCGTAGAAGTAGAAGTTGAAGTAAAAGAACGAGAACGGGAACGAGAACGGGAACGAGAACGAGTACAAACCCCTGGCAAAGAAGGGTCGAAACGAGAGAAACAACAGACAGTGCAGCTAATTATCAGGCAACAAGAACAAGAACTCGACAACTCTCTGGCCAGGGCAAACAGACAATGCCCCACACCCCACACCCCATACCCCCATGGCACACATACCCCAGCAGAAGGGCTGGCAAAAACTAAGGGTATTAATGAATAGCAAACGACTTTGACTTGGCTACCGACTGGAGGATGCCTCCCCACAACTACTGCCTCTTTGCGAGTCCCTGCGAAAGTGCTTCTTGCCTGCTGCACAGTTTTTAGTGGAGTGTTGAGTAATTTACCCTAAAACTGAAGACCAAGATAATGATGATGATGATGATTCTCCGCCCTCCGCCTCTCTACCCCTGAGGACGACGACGACGATGATGATGATGATAATGGAAATGCATCGAGCTCTGCAGCCAGCGACATTGGCTATTAATCATCTTTAAACAAAAGACAGGGCATCCAGAATCCACTACAGCCAGCAACAACAACAACTACAACTACAGCAACAACTACAGCAACAACTACAACTACAACTAAAACATAAACATCAGGTTAACCCTTTCCGACGTCGCTGCATTATCGTTAACTTAAAACAAAGCCCCAGTACAGTGGTTGGCATGGCCCAAGCACCGAGAGCCCTTGAACTGTTTGGAACTGGTCCAAAGATCTGGAAATATAGGAGCCGATTATAGGAATATTTCTTTTGCCACAATTCGCTCGCTTAATTGATGACCAATTTCAGTGTTTCGTCCCACTGTGCAGTGGTCGTCGCCGCCACCACCAGCATCGCCTTCGCCATCGCCATCGCCTGCCCGTGGGGCCACAACAAGTGCAGTCAAGAATGACAGACGAGCAAATGGTCTGATGTACGATGGGCTGCTTGACTTTGCTTTGGCAGTGGGATGCATCGATGCTGCTGGGGAGGGGGGAAAGGTGGGCGGAAGGGAGGGCATACCCGTTGATATATGTCGCTGGGCTTGCTTGTTTGTTTGTCTTCCCCTCCCGCTTGCCTCTCGCACGCTCTTGCCCCCGCCATCGCCGTCCGCCCCTGGTGGTACGTACGAGTATTCCATGTTACTTGTCCCTGTCGTCGTCGTCATCGTTTGTCGCATTGTCAAGAAGATGCATGTTGCTTGTCTTGCCAAAAGTGCAGGCTTCCAGCCTCCAGCTTCCAGCCTCAGAGTCTCAGTCTCATCCCCACAAGCCTCATGTGTTCCCCTATCCCCCCCCCACCGACCCTTCGTTGGGGGCGCCGCATTAAATCAGCAATTGAAACAACATCACTCATGACACGTTTTGGTTGGGCTGATGTCTCGAGTCGAGTAGCTAAGGGAGGTGCACGGTGGCAGGGTGGCAG